CGTTAACTCAGCTAAATCGCAAACTATTATCATAGGTAGATTGCAAATGCTGAATAAGTTATTAGTTGATCACCTACCCCAAATAGTATTTGATAAAACTAATATCCCTTACAGAGATTCAGTGAAGAACTTGGGGATTAATATAGATAAATATCTGTCATGGGACCAACAAATCAAAGAGATTCACCGTAAAGCTTAGGCCTCTGCAGCCTCCTTGCGTATATTACGAAACTTTCTTCCAATATACACCAAAACTGCGCTTGCCAAGTCCCTTCTCTTCCCTATTTTCGACCATGCGGATGTCAGCTATCTAGATCTCACCGAAGCTCAACTTGATAAACTTAATCGAATTCTGAATTTCTGTATTAGGTTTATATTTGGTTTACGCAAATATGACCATGTTTCTTTCTCTTTTTCGTACTAAGCTCAAGTGGTTGTCGATACGACTTCATCGGAATGCTCACATACTTCCATCTTCTCAATAGTATTCTCTTTAATCCTTCTTACCCTTCTTACCTCAAAAATCGTTTTGTGTTTCTTCGTGATTCCCATTCGCGTAACCTGAGATCAGCAGAGAGCTTGAAATTGAATATGCCACTACACACTAGTAAATTTATGAACAAGTCTTTTACTGTACAGGCCGTTCGTTTATGGAATGAACTCCCATTGGCAGTTAAACGCGCTCCATCCCAACCGGTTTTTAAAAAACTAGTAAAGAACTATTTACCTTGCACTTCGCTCCCACACTAGCCATTTAATATAATATAATATAACATATGTGTAGTATATTGATTGCATTTAGTTAAATAATTTAAATATATATTTATTTTTGGTATGTATATATGTTTGTAGTATATGTATGTTTTATTATATATAAGCTTTTTATATATAAGTATGTTTTGTTATATATAATGTAAGTATATGTATGTTTTGTTATATACATATATTTAAATGCAATAATTAAACTTTTTTATCACACCAATGTACCCTACCCTTGTCATCTTTGTGTAATTCTGTCCATTCACTGGTTGTCTGGAAGAAATTGCTATCAGCACACTGACCTCTATATATACAAGTACGCTGGACTGGCTATACACCGTGACATGATGAAGCGATTTGATTTCCACCATTTTAGCGCTGACAGCAGAATTGCACGTCCACGGAACTAATAATAGGGATGAGAGAGTGTATCAAATAATATCGATAAAATTCTATACCCTACCTATACCTAAATAGAATAGACTCAATGTATAGATGGACTCTACCCGTAACGTCCATTCTCTTTATATATCATATTAATGTAATGCCATTATAATTCATCATCATTTAAGCCCTTCACAAGTCCACTGCTGAACATAGGCCTCCCCCAAGAAATGCCACAAAGCACGGTTCTGAGCCACCGGCATCCTTCAACGTCCTGTATGTCTTACCAGGTTTTGACTCCATCTAGTGGGGAACGTCCTACACTTTACCTGCCGATACGAGGCTGCCACTCGGGAACCTTTTTTCCCCATCGGTATTCGGTTCTTCGAGCTATATGGCCGGTCAATTGCCACTTCAGCTTACTAATCCATTGGGCTATGTCGGTCACTCTGGTTCTGCTGCAGATATCCTCATTCCTAAGTTTGAACCCACTGAGCATAGCCCTTTTCATAGCTCGCTGAGCGACTTCGAGCTTCCTCATACGGCCAGCAGTGAAAGACCACGTCTCTGATCCATAGGTCATCACTGACACTGACTGACGAGAAGATGTGTCGTAATCTCCCGAACGCTACCCAGCCGAGTTGAATCCGTCGCTTGACCTGTCGGTCGAAGTTGAACTTACCTAGTTGGACTATATGTCCCAAGTAAATATACTCTTCAACAACTTCAGCTAAGTGTTCTCAAAAACCACCGACATAGGTGTGACATGGACATTACACATGACTTTTGTTTTGTCCATGTTCATCTTAAGACCTATCCGTTGGGAGACACTATTGAGGTCATTAAATATAGTGCGTAGGTCCTCCAGCGATTCTGCCATAAGGACTATATTGTCGGCAAATCGAAGGTGAGTGATGTACACGTCATTGACGTTCATACCGTATCGTTTCAAGTCCAGTAGCTTGAAAACGTCTTACAATGCAGCTGTAAAGTATTTCAGGGATGTTACGTTACCCTGTCTTACATCTCTACAGTTGGATTTGTTTTGTACTCTGGCTCTGTACTCGGATAGCCATCGTAGCACTTAGACCATTCAACTAAAAAATTATTAGGAGGAAACTAACTACACAAAACAAAAATAAAAACATAATTTCTTAAATAATTTATTGTCAATCGTTCATTTAGTTCTAGTATTATAAAAAACAAATCAGCTGCTATAATAACGCCTATTCTAATAAAATACAGGTCTGTCCATAGACAGTAAAATATTTTCTACTATATAAAAATTTATGTTTGTTCGTACTTTCTACGATTCTATACAGTTCATCAGATTGCAGTAAAACTTAGTCAACTTACTGGTTGCACTTGTGCGAAGGTTGTACGTATGGTACAATTAACTGACATTAGGTGGCGTGCGTATTATAGTGACTATTTGAATTTTAATTTGAAAATTAAAGAAAATCATTCTATTTCAATAATTGTATTATCATTCCTAATTATACAATATAAGTGTTCCACATTTTTAACGATATGTCCACAATTACTTCTTCTGCGGCAGCATTGCGCCGAGTACGAGCTAGCAAAATAATATAAAAAATATACACTTTGAATTACATTGTTATCAGTTATTTACGACATTTTCGAAATTGAAATAACAATACTAAAAAAAAAATAACAGAAATTATCATACAGTCCTACTTTCCGTGGTATCGTCCCAAGAATGCTGGCTACGTGTCCTCTCTAACAATAAACTAAACAACTTCTTATTACATGCAGCGAAAATCAGTCGCATATACAGTTTTTTAGGAACTACAACGCACGTGCACCCTACGGGCCAATAGTCTCTACAGCAAATTGCACAAATATGTACTCATCTTCTAGATATTCTGGGCTATTTACTTAGTTCAGATGCCTCTAATGCCACCTCTGCTTTAGACGAGGTACCTCTGAGATGGGATGCTGTGAAAGTGTTCGCAATTAGTATCCCACACTAAAGCTTTATCTCTCTCTCTTTCTCTCTCTCTTCTCTCTCTCTCTATCTCTCTCTCTCAAGCAACCAAACCCATACCGTCGGGTCTCCTGGTATCGTCTCTAAATATTCTACAAAGATCTTAAACTGAGGAAACATTTATAAAGATACGAGCTCTTCGGATGAAATTGTCCAAGAACTAAGGACAATATTATATTAAAGAATACCATAACATTATTACACGGTTATTTAACCGTGTATTAAGGATGGATTGGACCAAATACTATGTTAAACCAGAGTAACTAACCCTCGAATAATTTTACTCTTTGGTCTTACACCAAGATAACTTCATTTTGCGTTTTGTAACACAAACGTAGAGAAGCCAATACTGGCTATTGTTACTCCAGAGTTGGTAGTTGGTGGTAGAGTTTATTCATTTAAACAAGTAAACCAACTTAAACGAGAACACAACTGTTGTAAAATGCGTCCAAGATTTGAGGTCCACATAATTTTCCGTAAGTGTAAATAATGCCGCCCAATGGCAGCCCCTCCTTAGTTGCTGACTTCTTCCCCCGTTTTCATTCTCAGATAAGGCGCACCAGAAACAAGCCACACTGCCCTTCGCGTTCTCTAACTCCACCGACTCCACTCCTATGGACTCCCCGAGCCCGATATGTGAATGGAGCCAGGGAAAACTATCACTTGGAAGCATCAAGTGGTGCAGCCTCACCAAAGTCGCGAAAGATAGTCGAGTGGCGCGACCAACACTCCTCTTCCCTTACGACTCCTCCTCGACTACAGCGGTACAGGGAGAGGAATCTCCTCTAGCCGCAGCCCACTAAAACACATACAACGTGGCTCGACATCATCAGGCGACCTTTCGACACTTGGCTATGGCCCTTGAGTTTGGTGAAAAATGATAAAAGAAGAAGTAAAAAAAACATTCGAAATAATAATCTAATACTTTTATACTTACTGGTACTGGTAATACCAGAAAATATTGTCGGTATACTGCACCTTTTCAAAGTGGTGCAGTTCTCATGCCTAATAAAACAGGCGTCTGTGAGATGTTTGGAACAAATATGATCATTTTGTTTCGGACGCCAATTCACAATGTCTATGCTTTTAAGCCATAATTTTAATCTAGTTTCACTTGGGAACCTGTTAATTAATAAATATTTAATAATCGTCTGTTGTTGGCGACTTTCTTTGTTAACAGATATGGGTAGGAAAGAACATCGATAAGTATTATAGACAAGTAACTCGACAACCCTATTGAATTTTATTGTTTATCAAAACTCAGTAATGTACAGCCAAAGATGTTGGTATATATGATATTAAGATTAGCAACAAATTTTTGAGTACTTATATTATCAAATAATTTTAATTTATTTCATATTTGCTGCAAATTCACTTACTTGTGAAATGTTATATCACTTCCCTTTTGGTAACGAGTTTTACAGATTACGCACAGTCATTATTAATAAAAATAATTCTTATTATGTAACTAATATTATACCCAATCAAACAACATAAAATACTTTCATTTTTTAGATTAAAAGTTCAAAATACAGATTTATTAAACAAGACAATTTAAATATGACAACAGACTTTGGCATATTATGTCAGTTTTATTTTTCAAGACATCCTTTAGCGGCGCTTCAAATTGGAACAGTCATTTTCTATGGTATAGCCAGTCCAGCTTACTTGTATATATAGAGGTCAGTGTATCAGCAATAAGACCGCCCATTGCATATTTCTTTTGTATATATAATTATTAATTTTTATATGGCGTGCAATAAAGAATATTAAAATAATAATTATGTAGGCTGTTAAACGTCGGCATGCAGTCGACATCAAATTAGTACAACTTCTGTACGTAGTACTATTATTTATTCTGTGGCATTGTGTGGGCAGAGAGGGTAAGATCGCGGTAGTGCGAGGGGCGTAGTGTGGCGAAGTCATAAGTGCGAGGGTGACGCAGGAGCGGCGAGTGCGCGAGGCGCAACTCGCGGCGTGCGCGGGGCGTGAGGTGAGCGCGCGAGCAGCGGGCGCGGCGCTGCTGCGCGGCTGGCTGGCCGGCCTGCTGCCCGCCGTGCTGGCTGGCCTGCGCGAGCGTGGCTACCTGCTCGATACGCTGCACGCCGGTAACTACCACTGCACTCCTCTTGTTCTTGCTTCCTTTTTCTCTAGTAGATTGAAACCTTATAGCACACAAGCACGCACACGTATGCATGCACACAATTAAGCGAAAATTTTACAATTTTAAAATTGTTATGATTTGAACACTAAAAAAAGGTATACATCTATCATCATCATCATCATCATCATCAACATTACAGCCCTTCACAAGTCCACTGCTGAATATAGGCCTCCCCTAAGTAATGCCACAAAGCACGGTCCTGAGCCACCTGCATCCATCGACTTCCTGCATGTCTTACCAGGTCGTCACTTCATCTAGTGGGGGGTCGCCCTACACTACGCCTACCGGTACGAGGCTGCCACTCGAGAACCTTTCTTCCCCATCGGTTATCGGTTCTTCGAGCTATATGGCCGGCCCATTGCCACTTCAGCTTACTAATCCGTTGGGCTATGTCGGTTACTCTGGTTTTACTGCGGATATCCTCATTTCTGAGTCTATCACGCAGAGAAACTCCGAGCATAGCCCTCTCCATAGCTCGCTGAGCGACCTTGAGCGTCCTCATACGGCCAGCAGTGAAGGACTACGTCTCAGATCCGTAATTCATCACTGGCAACACGCACTGGCTATAAACTTTAGTTTTCAGAGATTGAGGTATACCTGACGAGAAGATGTGTCGTAATTTCTCGAAAGCTGCCCAGCTGAGTGAATCCGTCGATTGACCCCTCGGTCGAAGTTGGACTTACCTAGTCAGACTATTTGTCTCAGGTAAACGTACTCGTCAACAACTTCGAGCATAGTGCTCCCAACAACTACCGGCATAGGTGTGACATGATCTTTGTTTTGTCCATGTTCATCTTAAGACCTATCCGTTGGGAGACACCATTGAGGTCATTGAGCATAGTGCTAAGGTCCTCCAGGGATTCTGCCATAAGGACTATATCATCGGCAAATCGAAGGTGAGTGATATACTCGCCATTGATGTTAATACCGTATCCTTTCCAGTCCAGTAGCTTGAAAACGTCTTCCAACGCAGCGGTGAAGAGTTTCAAGAATATAACATCACCCTGTCTTACACCTCTCTGCAGTTGGATAGGTTTCGAACTCCGGTTCTGTACTCGGATAGCCATCGTAGCCCAATTGTACAAACACTTCAGCACTTCGATATACCGACAGTCAACTTGGCACCGCTGAAGGGACTGTAGCACCGCCCAAATCTCGACGGAATCAAAGGCTTTCTCATAGTACACATATGCCAGGCAAAGTGGCAGATTATACTCTTCGGTCTTCTGTACAATCTGCCGCAGGGTATGTATGTGGTCTATGGTACTGAAGCCTTTTCTGAATCCGGCTTGTTCGGGAGGCTGGAAGTCGTCGAGTCTGCGTGCGAGACGATTCGTAATGACTCTCGAAACAGCACGTAGACGCGGCTCAGAAGGGAAATCGGTCTGTAGTTCTTCAAGAGAGCGTTGTCGCCTTTCTTAAAGAACAAGACCACCACGCTTCTGCTCCACGCCTCCGGAGTAGTGCCACCATGGAGGACGGAATTGAAGAGCTTCTGAAGGACTTCAAGTACCGGTGTTCCACCCGCTTTCAGAAGCTCCGCTGTAATTCCATTCTCGCCCGGGGCCTTGCCGTTTTTAAGGTGGTGGAGAGCCATTCTAATCTCGCTGAGACTGACGTCCGGGGTATCATCAGAATAGTGTCAGATAAGACTTGCTCTTGGATCGTTACTCACACTTGCGTGTGGCTCCAACGATGATGTGTACAGCTGCCCATAAAACTTCTCAATCTCACTCAGAATCTCAGGTGTCCCGGAAACGATGTTGCCACACTCAGTCTTCAGCTTTGACATTTGGCTCTTTCTGGCAGACAGATCTCTGGCAAAGACTTTGGAGCCCTGGTTCCGCCCGTTCGCTTCTTTAATACGAGCAGTATTAAAGTTGCGTAAGTCTCGCCGCATGCATTCGGAGATCTGTCTGTTCAGTTGCCTGTATGCTGTCAAATCTGTTGACGATTGCAGCCTCATCTCCCGTCTAACAGCCATGAGATTAAGAGTGTGATCGGAGAGTTTTTGTGTTCTTCTGCGGCGGGTCTTGCAGAACTTAGCTCCGACCGCATGGACAGTTTCCACGAGCTTGTCATTCATATCGTCCACTGCATTGCAATCCTCTAGGCACTTACTTAGACACGACACTAGGAAAGCGGTTTTGTAACTCGAGCTGAAAGGTTTCGGGATTCTGGATTAGAGCACGAGGGGGACGGAGCGTTGACTTCATTAGACGAGACCTCTACAACTTAACGTTTAGGTTCAGTGTGCCTCTAACCATTCGGTGATCGCTGCCAGTTTTTATCCTTGCGATCACTGAGACATCACTGAACAGTTGGCGTCTGGTCATCATAATGAAGTCAATCTCATTTTTTGTCGAACCGTCGGGGCTCCACCAGGTCCACTTCCTGTGGGGCCGCTTCTGGAAGAAATAGGTCATCATAAAGACTCCCTCTTTCTCCATAAAGTCGGCCAGCTGCTGGCCTCTTCGGTTCCGTTGCCCTACTCCAAATTTCCCTACCTTCAGCTCACCGCTTTCTCTTGTGCCTAGTTTTGCGTTGAAGTCTCCCATCAACACCGTGTAGTGGGTTTTGGAGGAATGCATGGCTCTGGAAATATCCTTATACATTTCCTCCACCTCCTCATCGGGATGTGCCGAGGTTGGTGCGTAAACCTGTATGACCTTCAGCGAATACCGTTTAGTGATTTTGAATATCAGGTACGCGACCCTCGTCGACACACTTCCAATCTTTACAACGTTGTTGACGAGAGACTTGTGGACGATAAATCCGACACCTCCTTGGTACAGATGGTCGCCCTCCCGGTGGTAGAACAAGTTGCCGGACTCGAGGATTGCCGTGTCCTCCCCCTCTCTTCGGACCTCGGATAATCCAATAATATGCCAGCGCAACTTGTCTACCTCTTCTTCCAACTCCAGTATCTTCCCGTCAGTCCTCAGGGTGCGTGCGTTATATGTTGCCAGGTCGAGTCGTCGTAGGTGGCAACTGAACCTCCACCGGAGATTCTTAGCACCCCCTGCCCCACCGTTACCATGGTCGCCATCGTAGCCAGGAATAGCGGGGCCGCCAGGGACTGGGGGCCGTTTGTTTGCGTCGTTACTCATGGGGGGATATTTGCCATAGTTGCCACGCTTGGCGAGCGGGTTGGCAACCGCAGTTTTTTATTATGATATTGTTGTTATCAGGAAGATGCTGCTGCCCATCTCTTGCCTGTCTCCCTCTGCCGCCTCTTACGACACCCACGGGAAGATATGGGGTAGTGGATATTCTCACCGCCACTACACGGCAAAAAATACATCTATAGGATTTTACAATTGAAAGTATTTCCTGTTGTCTCGGTTTCAATGAATTAGTAACAAGAAAAGAATTATTAGTGAAATTTAATTAAAAATAAATGACTAAGGTTTCACTTCTACTGTATGTAAACTGCACATATGTTTTCTTTTTTATATAAAATAGGTTTGACAAGCGGGTACACAGTTTACTTGAAGGTAAATGGATATTGTAGCCCATAGACTTAGATGGAATGCCCGTTTAGAGTGCTGTGTTCCGTATTGTGTAATTATCAATCGTTGTTAATCTAAAGAGCTGAACCGATTGTGGTGAAACTTGCCATGAAGGATCTAGATTATATTTTACCCATGATTTTTTTTAGAAAACGTGAATAAAATAAATATTCTTCATTGATTATCTTTTTATTTAAATAACTCCATACTAATAGATACTATCCTGGCTAAGCCGGGGCGAGTCGCCAGCTGATAGTTTAAAAAAATGCCAGTCGTAGGATTATACGTCATAATCATAAGTGAAAACTTGCTTAGCTTTACAACCTTGAGAATATTATTTTTAGGTTGATAAGAAATATTTTTTTGGGAAGTATTTTTTATAATAAATTATTTTATCAATAACATTTTAATTTATTATGCTTTTTACATTAAAAAAAGAATGATTTTTAACTATACAATACAAACAAATTTATAAATACACACACACACACACACACACACATATATATATATATATAAATTTCGGTCAGGGCGGCTAGCCTTAACAGAAAGTTGTCATTTATGCAGGACTGTATTATAGTTCCCAAGTGTATGCCGCATGGTATACGGTAAACCGACACGATCGGAGAGAGATCAGGCACAGGACTAACGGTTTGATATGCTTTCCGAGTTTCCGAGGCACGGGGGTGAGACACCGTAAGCTTCCTGACTCCGGACAACTACTGAGAATTAACTAAATACCTAACTCAATAAACTGATTCTTTGACATGCGAGATCAACAGTCGCGTTAACAACCACTGGACCAACGAGCCAGTCAACATTTCATTTCAAAAATTAAACTTACGTCCATGATATATTAATCAGATATTAATCTATACAAAACAAATTGCAGGTGTAAATGAGGAGGTGATGCCGTGGCTGGTGCAAGAGGTTTCGCATGAGATCGAGTCGATCATCACGAGTCGAGAGGTCATCACAGGTGACATTAATAAAAATACTGTTAAAGCATTATTAAATAAGTTTATCCTGGCAAATTTAAACTAACGACTAACTTCCTTTAGTCTGTTATTTAAATTTTTTTTATCTGCGCAACATGCGTTACGTTACACACGCAACCACAAACGCACATTTATTTATAAACATGAAGTGACATATGAACTTGCAGTTCACCTGGACGGTAACGACTGCTCCAACCCGTTGTCAGCTCCAAGGACTAAGGTGGAATGTCTGACAGCCATACCGGAATGCAAATACAGTTATTTGGCGGCAAAATGGGTGAGAAGGTGATTTCCACAGATTGAAGAGTTTATGGTTTGAGGCGGTCTAACACCACCAACACATAAACTTATCGTCATAGTCTTCTTGCATCTGATGACGCCATCGTACAATGTAATCGAAAATTAACTGAATACAGAGAAATTAACTTACGACACACGCAACACGCATGTCCCCACGGCGACAACCTTGAGTCTGTGGGCAGAAATCTTTACCACTCTCCGCACCTAAAGATCTTGCACACTTTCTCGCTACACGCTGGTGTCATAAGTAATAAAGTTACAGACAGTTCACCAATGCTTCATATTTTAATTTGAGCACGCATTGTAGCCTCTGTTTAAAGTTGGTGACAGGTGACCCCATCATCAAATGGAATGAACGTACCGTAAGTGTAATATTATTATTACTATAAACTTGCAGAGATCGTGCGCGACGTGGTGGAGGCGCGCGCGCAGCGGCCGCCGGAAGAGCTCGCGCCCAGATTGCCCTCCCCGCCCTCCTCACCCTCCTCGCAGTCCTCCTACGAACAGCTTGAAGGTGAGTGGTCTCCACTGTTGACACCACAGAATCACGCTTATCAGCGAGGTAGGGCATGACATAGAATTCGTCAAGGTACACCTATATTATAGAAGTATTTGTGTATGTATGTATATACGAGTACATATAAACGTGGCAAAGCTATCCTGCATCTATATTATAGTTGTAGCACAAATGGTACGGCTTGACAGGGGAAGACCACGCTCACAGAATACCAGCGTAAATACTAACTAACAGTAATAACACCATTATGTTGCTCCTAGTCAACTTCCATCGGAGATTCCTTTTACTGGAATCGAGGTATCCCACCTTAGTCCTCAGGTTTGAGAACGCATCTGCATGTTGGTTATTAATCTAGGAAAGACGTAGATGCCTTTGGGCCACAGCATCCATTTACCGTGAGGTCGGCTGTGTGCTCACTTGTCACCGTTATTCTATAAAAACTGTATGGAGTCCGTGTAAGCATATCCTCTGCCCATGTGGTCCTGTGGATGTCGCAAGAGGGCACAAGGGAAATAATTCAGGAGCTGGCAGCATTTTCGTCCCAATAAATGTAAAAATGAAAAATAATACCGCGGTAGCTCACCCGTCCATCTAGCGTGGCAGCTATGACAAATATCCTATAAGGCAATTTATGGAGGGAAGGCTAATGTTCACCAGTGGACATGTTTTAGGCTGCATCTGGCTGCTTTTTTGACACACATTGCCTCCACTTCGTTCGTTCGATTGACTAACGCTTTCACCACCATGACAAATATTTCTCCGTTCATTTACACACAATACCCCACGATACACTAACAATAAATTATTATTAAAAGCAAAGGATATTTGACGGCAGAATTAAAGGTTACCAAAGATTTGAATTTTGCTTTTTTACCATTTTTGTTTGAATTTTATTTTAATGTATTTTTGTGCAATACACGATATATTAGCTAATTATTATTTTTAGGTCACAAGTCTGACCATTTGTGTCCGCCATATTTTTAGTGGTGTTACGATTAGAATGACATGACCTGAATAGGTAGTTACAAGAGCACATAGAAACTCTTATACTTATAGAGGAAACCGGGGATGGTTGATCAATTTTCAGTAAAGTCGCATGTATTTTCATTGTTTAAAGTATATTATCATAAAAACAAAAATAACAAAAAGCTTTCCATCAATTATGATATAGTGCACAAGCTTAATTTTGTAGGACACGAAATACTAGTCAACCTACTCCATGCCCGGGGTTGGTTGACTTTTTGCTAGGGGTAAGTTAACCTATGAGATAATTAGTACACGTTATAGGGATAAATAGGATAAAAACTACAAAAATTATTTGTAATTATCATTTTTTATTGATACGAAATTTTCAATCCTGAAAACGAAATACTTAAAAATTGTATTATTGAATCCATTTCAAACTATAACATTTTGTGCACTCTAAACAAAATGTATCATCCTCATCACCTACGTCTTACTCGTATTTGTCATTATTCCTATTATTTCTCTCATGAGCTTTATTTCCTTTCTCTTTTTCTATTACTTACCCCTTCAAATTTTCCTTCAATTATCTTTGATTACTTTGTTTTATTTTTTCGTGTCTTACTGGATTGTTGTTTATTTTGAGTACATTAAGATTTTCTTTTTCAGATGTATCTGTACAAATATTGCAAACTTTCGTGTTTCATAGGAAGTGTGAATTAGTAATAAATATCAGTTACCTTCTTATGGTATTTTTCTGATGCAAATTATTTCTCTTCAATAAATATTTTCATTTTTTCAGTGTACACTGAAAAAATGCTCTCCAAATTCAAATGCTAATTTAAAGTTAAATTTAGATCTCGTCATTATCCGATTACTTTCTAACATTTTTTCATTTTTACCACGTTGCGTTGGAGTGTTTTATATGGTATATCAAATTCTTTTGCTACAGAATTAATGCTCTATTGGAGGCATTTTAGGTGTACTTCCTCGATGAGTCTTTCTTTTGTTCGTTTGCACGATTCTGTAACAACTCGCATTTAATAAACTGAAAAAAAACTGCCGTTATTCCATGTCAAGTATACCCAGACTACTATGGGGTATGTTGATTAGGTGGTCAGTTAGCCCCGAAATAGGTTGTTCTACCAGCCCCGGGGTCGACATTTAATTTATAACCACATGGCATAGGCTCAAAACTGGGGCTATTTAAAAAAGAATTATACCTAAGAAAAATAATAAAAACCAAACATTTATTTTAAATGACTTGAATAACAACGAGTATTTAGGCGTTAACACAAAAAATATTATGAGGTAAATAACTACTCACATGATCTGTTTTTCGATTATATGCACCTTCTCCCGAACGACGTGCCTTTGTGATACCACGCTCCCGGTACCTGAGCGGGGGAATAAAACGGTTTCTCGTACCTAGTTGGATGTGACAAAACTCTCGAGTAGATTGAATTATTGACAATAAGTCAACCTGCCCCTATAGTCAACCATCCCCGATCTCCCCTATCCGTTGAAAAAGAGGAAGGGTCAGACACAGCATTTTTCGGGATGAAGTTATCCAGTAGTGGCACTATTTTTATGTTTCATTGTAAGTACGCAATCGCAAACCCCGCCGGCACCATCACAATTGTGAATAGCTGTATGAAGTACAACATTTCAACATTTACACGCTGACCCAAATTACCTAGCTTTAATATCATAAAAGCTAATAAGACAGTTAACGATCGGTCACCGTACCCGCCGTTTACCATATTACCAATTATTTTAATATATTATCCTCGCGTAAATACTTCCGCGTTTTACCATTTTTTTTTTCAATTAGTTACACTAACACCAGACAATAGCAATATTAAATTCTGATTTACTTTTGCACTAAATGAAAATAACGTCAGACAACCTGCATGACAAAGAAATTTAAACCTTTTCATGAACATGTGAAGATGGTCAACACACATTGGGGCAGCTTGACGAATTCGTTCCTCCTCTTTTCTGACACCTCAAAAATAAGAGAGTCGCAATTCCCTTGTCTCAGTAATTTTTATTGCATACACATTACTAAATAAACGTTACTAAATATTCTTCAAAAAGCCCTATTTTAAAATATTATCCTATTACATGTACATTAAATATAATAAGTCACCCGCGCTCCGGCAAGAGCGTGCATAAAATGACGACTTGTACTACCTGATTTAAACACCATATGCCTTTCGACAAAATCAAGGAAAGAAATAATTTACACTTCAAGCTCAATCTAGTTCTGAAGTAAGAATAGCGCTGCAGAGCTAAAATTTTCGGCTCATAGCTAAATTACGTAGCAGGAACGAAATTACGTAGCAGAAATAAATATTTGAACAATAGCGTCTTAAATTGGATGTCTAAAAGTGGCTTTATAGTAGTAGATTTCATGTCTTAGTAAACGAGTCATAAATTTACTTACAAATTAATAAATTTTAAATGTCATGATCCTTTCCTTACAGATGGAATATAAAATGTCTTTAAGTTTTTTTAATACTCATTTACCTATAGAACTATTGCATAACTTCTATTGTTAGCGTACTCGTATTTTTAAGGTAATTTTAAGATGTTATAGCACTGCCGGATATGTGTCCTTCTCGTTGTACGGATGCATTTGCCGTGACGTCACGTCGTGGCACGACTTGACGTGACGTCACGCTCTGTAGTCGGACTGGTGACACTGTGACTGGTGATCCAGACGCCTCGCACCTTTGATGCCTCTGTCCGCCGTACGCCAACCTAGGTTTTTAATAATAATAAAAAGTAAAGTAAAGTTACAGCCTATATACATTCCACTGCTAGGCACATGCCTCCCCTCAATTCTGAGAGGGTTTTACGGCAAAGAAGTGTCCGCCGCGCTGCTGAGCTCGTGATAAATCAGCACTTAAAATTGCAATTTAAAATTTCATTGGTGCCGGCGGGGATCGAACCCGGGTTACTCGCGTTCTGTTATATTTACAGCGAGCGTCAACCATCCGAGCTACCACGGCTCGACTTTACGGCAAAATTTTAATATATATATATATATATATATATATATATATATATATATATATATATTTCAAAACCATAATCTGTTGTAGATACAGAGTAAAAATCTTAAAATCTATATGAGTAGAAATAGATTATTAATAAAATGTACGTTACTTCATATAACTGGGGCGCCTGTCCGAGGTACTGGTTACTTAAACATGCACATGCACTCAATGCTTCAAAAAAGCACACTGTTGTTTCTCGCAATTACGTTTAGAATGCTATTGGCGCTTACCTGATAGTGTTACTGTTACCGCCACAGATTATTTTTTGAATACCGGTGTCGCTAAATTCTATATAATATTAATTTTAGAATCACTTTGAGTCGAAGTAAACATCTATCAGTAGTGATTTTTGTATAAAATAAGAATAGTTAAAAAATAATTTTAAAAGATAATATACTAGGCTGCACTAAAAGTATCGGGAATGGAATATTTCCACTGTTCCTGTCATATTAAAATCTTTTCATTGAAAACTCCTTGGTTTTTAAAATCGAATACCATTTATTTATTTAAAAAAGATTCTCGGTCTTGTCACAAGGTTTTGTCAAACTTGTTTAGTCGTTGAGAAAATGGAATTGACTCGAGAAAATTCAAGAGCGATGATTTATTATGACTTTCGAAGTGGTTTAACACAAAAACAGTGTGTTGACCGGATGATTTCTGCATTTGGTAATGAAGCCCCATCCAAAACCACAATTTATCGCTGGTTTGCTGAATATCAACGTGGACGTGTCAAGCTGAGTGATGATCTCCGTCAAGGTCGTCCAAAAACTGCAGTCACCCTAGAAAACGTTGATGCTGTGTGTAAGCTGATTGAGGAAGATCGACATGTGACATACCGCAAAATTCAGGCATCTTTAGACATTGGCATGAGTCAAATACAAATAATCTTTCATTAACAATTAGGTGTAAAAAAGTTGTTTTCCCGATAGATACCGCATTCGCTCTGTGAAGAGCAAAAAGCGGCTCGCG